TTTTTATTACATTTGCATCCAGTTTTATTTTGTTATAAGCAATAATTATAAATTTATTTCTTAATTAAAACTCCTAATCGTACATATTTAGTTACATACGTTTCAATGTTTTCAATATGTGGTTCAAGGGATCAAAGTTTAAACATAACGATTATAATCTGCACTTACAAATAATCAAACATTGTAAATTACATACACATGCTTTATAATTAAATTTATTAGTGAGTAAAAACGCGCAGCTTCTAGTCGCATTTTTTTCATTTAATAAATACACGATGAATTTATTCGACAAGGTGATGTATTTCATTTTTGGTTTACGATTTTTTTTTTTAATTTTTTTTGTAGTCATTTTTTTGCTTTTATTATTACCATCTCAAACTTACTTACATACGTACTTATATATGTATATTTATATATGTACATACATAGGTAATGTTTGTATGCATTTATGTATACAGTTTTGCAATGATAGGTTTGGTTGTGCCAAAGGAAAAACTAACAACAACTTCTGCGAATGGACATCGAACTCCTTCAAGTTTTTCCAACGATTTTTTAGTTCGCGCGAAATAAGCTAAACCAAATAAAAGTTTTTGATTCTTGCAACATTATTTGTTATGTTTTCTCACGTGTATTTGATTTTGTGTTGAGGCTTATATGTAGATACATATGTATGTAGATAAATATATAGTAAGCAAAGTGTCGAATTTTTATTAATTTTGCATTTTTAGTAAAGAATTCTGCCAAATACAAACATACACACAAGTATTTTTTTACTAACTAAACTTTTCAAAGAAAATCATTGCATATAGTTTCAATTTTTTTTAAATAAATATTCAAAACTTTACAATTACGTGCATAGTTTTTAAATTCAATTTTGTCTTCAAAATACCAGAATGAAGAAGAAACGAATATATATACAACTGATAAAAAAAAAAATTGTAGCGCATCAATAATTTCTTCCAAGTCAGCAGAGAAAATAGCCGTCTTCGATTCGCCACTATATTATCACTATATTTGAGCTCTGCTCTCTTGACAAAAAATGTGCGTGTGAAAGCAACAATAAAGGTCGGTGTTAAGCAGGGATCACACGATTTGTATATTTGTACATTTTGCAGTTACAAATCATGTGATCCCTGCTTTATGCAGATATTTTTTTTAGCAAACTGTATGCAAATTTGGAGAGAGGCTTTGGCGACTCTCACAGCAAACTAAATTTGGCTGGCCAAATCGATGTAAAATTATTGTTACCATACAAAAAAATTGTTGGTAATTGTAGTTATACATACCAAGGCATAGTTAATGAGGCTCGACACTTTTAAGTCTTTTCAGACCGTCTGAAACCGGTTTTTCATAGGCGAGAGGAAGGGAGTAGTATTTTACCTCAGCAATTTAAGACCGGGAAAATGCGGTATGACTTCGGTCTGAAACACACACATAGAAAAATCTCTTACTAACACAACAATATACCGCATATCCAGATATCCTAATAACCAGGCAAGCGTGAACAACCACATTATTAATTTTTGCATCAAAAGGACATCTGCAATTTTTATTTCGTGTTAGCAATAGGCATAAAAGCACAATCAACGTGCAACCCTGTGCCAAACTCAGTGGATCCACCAAACAAAAATTTGTCTGCATAACACTGACCAAAGTTATCCAGCTGAATTTCTTCCCACGACAGTTGGTTCTACGTAACCGGAACGACCCAGATTCATATCTGGCCAAGGACGGTCACTTTAGCATCATTCCACAAAAATTATTTGGGGACTTTGTATGCTGTTACAACAACAACATCCATTCTCTGTATGATCTCTATGCAGATATTAGACAAGTTTTACTATAATAAATGGTTTATGCCAGTTATTCTCTAGGTTTGCCACTGTCTAAGTGTGGGCGAATCGAAACACCTAATAATTAAATAAATAGAACAAAAAAAAAAAAACAAGTACAAGATATTCAAATTACAAGCACGCGTTTAGCAATAAAATCCGTACTTGTCTAGGCACGGCAGCAACAAAGTTGCCAACAGTCTGGCAGCACAGTCTCTCTCTCGCGTTCGCTCACCTCCACTTTTAAACTGTTACACTTGTAATTAACAGCACGTTAGAGGCGCCCCAGATTAGAATGTTCATTAGAATTTAAATTTCAGCTATGAAATAAAATAAAATGATTTCCTTGCATCGCCCATTGCTCGGCCAACAAAGACAACTGCATAAATAAATATTAATTTGCAACACTAGCGGCAATGTTTTTATTTGCCGCCATCAACATGTGTGACATACTGCTACTCTCAATTTGTGTGCTTGTAGCTGCGGCTGCGGCAGCCACGGTAGCAGTAGCAGCCACTGCTGCCGTTTGTCTTTGTTGCTGCTGCTGTTTTGGTTGCTGCACTGCAGCCGCTGTTAAAGGTAATGGAGCCGTCATATGCATCGTACTGGAAGTACTTGTTGTTGTGACTGTGGTGGCGTTTGCATGCGATGTGTTTGAAACTGCTGGCGTCGCCGTATTAGGCAAGTTTTTTGTAGCTCCGCTAGCCGTTAAAACAGTGCTTGCTGTCGTGCTAATTGCAGAGGAGCTGGTAGTTATGGTTGTATAATTTGGCATATTATTGGTTATGACCGATGAGCGACTCTGCAGCTGAAAATAATAAAATATAATATTTACTTTTTTTTTTAATATTTCGAAAGGTATGCTTAAGTCAGTTTTTAGTTTTAGATCAATGCTTAAATGTTAATGATGATCAATTAATCTAATTGGCGGTAAATTTTATGAAAATTCACATAGCGTTACCAATATATATAGCTATCCTTGTTGGCTGCTATAGCTGAACTTTACTCCGTCGCTAAAGTGAAGTGAGCCAGGCCACGGCTGGACTGGGATGACGACTGTCTTAATTATTTCAGTTATTCAAAAGCCAGTGAAATGAAAAGTACAATGGTCATGCATTGAAGGTAAACGCAGGAAAATTGTTTTAAAGACTCAATTGTTAACATTTTAAAAAGGTATGGATGACGTATCAAACTCAGAAATTAACCCGCCAATTCCCATTAGCAAAATTCTGATATTTCTTTCACTTATTTATAACAAAATTGTACAAATAAGAGAAAAACATTGTTTTTTAATAGCCATTGTTACTTCTCATTATGTAAATGACTTTCATCTCTAGACGATCTACCCACGATAATACCTATTTGCATTTTTATCAACCCT